ACAATATTATTTATTTCACTCTCAAATCTATTAATTGTAATTAGCTATAAAATGTACGTAATAATATGATACATTTATAAATTAGCCATCTGCGCTAATCGAAAAATATTATACAAATACTTTTACAATTATTCAATTCTAAAATTTAATTCAATTTTACTTTTTCTTGTAAAATATACTTGTTGTGTCCTTAGTGATAATTGAGATACAATTTTTTATTACATTTTTAACTCTTTTATGATATTTTTACCTGTGATATTTCTCCCTTTCTCTGTCCCTCTCCCTCTCCCTCTCCCTCTCTCTCTCTCTCTCCCTCATCTATCGTTTAAAATTGTAGAAATAATAGGAAATAGTGGTGTCATCATTGTTAAAGATTACATTGCATTTTCTCATTTTTCTTCTTCCTCTTTCTCTTCTACCTTTCTCTCTCCCTCTCTCTCCCTCTCTCTCTCCTTCTCTCTCTCTCTCTCTCTTTGTACCCTTTATGTAGCATTTGCATCGATTTATACATATGTCACATTTGCCAGCTATCTAACAACAAAAATTCAACGATAATCAATGACACATTTAAAAATTGGCTTTAATTCAAAATTTAATCAATGCTACGTCATTTTAATTAAATTAATTTTTCTTTTTATAATATTTAGATAATACTTTTATAATATTTAGATATTAATTTTTCTTTTTATAATATTTTAGGATAATTTTTTTTTCTTTGATTTTATTTTGCTCATTGTTTTAATATATTATATTTTTGTTTATTTTCACATTTTCACATGTGATAAATTTTATATCATTCTGATAGTTCACAATAGATTCATTTAGTTTTTTTTTTTTCTCTTTTTTTTTCTCATAATATTTAGCGCAATTATCATTTTTCATTTTAAATGATATATATTGGCAATAATAATGAGATATTTTTTAAACAAATAATTAATGGTTTTTTTTTTTTCTTTTAGAATGTATTAATTTATGTGTAGAATTAATTGTTTTTATTATAAAATTTATTTGATAAAATTTTATTTTAATAAATGAGATAAAAAATTGATAGTGAAAAGATGATTGGAATGTTATAGTGCCTATAAAATATTCAATAGTATTAATTAATTTTTCCCTATCTTAGTGATACTAATTGTTTTCATACTTCGATTTGATATTTTGTTTACATAAATGTTATATATCAATGGAATCGATGTATTATTTGTATAAATTAATGTTGAAGGAAGAAAAGAAAATGACACTTGCTGGAAGTAAAGCATTTATTGGTCAACCAGCACCTAATTTTAAAACAACAGCTGTTGTGAATGGTGATTTCAAGGAAATTTCACTTGGTCAATTTAAGGGAAAATATGTTGTTCTCTTCTTTTATCCTCTTGATTTGTATGTTTTACCTTTTTTTTTTTTTTTATAAAAAAAATTTTTTTTTTTTCAATTAAAAGAAATATCATTTTCAAATATATTAATGATTGTCTATTTTTTTCTATTTTTCTAAAACTTTTTTTTTTTAGTGTTATTTACAGAAAAAACGGAAAAAGAAAAAATGTGTTTGTTTTTTTTTTGTTGTATATTTGTTAAATATTTATTATTATATTTTTTTTTAGCACTTTTGTTTGTCCAACGGAAATAATTGCATTTTCTGATCGTATTGCGGAATTTAAACAATTGGATGTAGCTGTTATGGCATGTTCAACAGATTCACACTTTTCACATCTTGCATGGGTAAATACTGATCGAAAAATGGGTGGACTTGGTCAAATGAATATACCAATTTTGGCTGATACAAATCATGTAATAAGTCGAGCATATGGTGTACTTAAAGAGGATGATGGAATTGCTTATCGGTATGTGTTAGAAATATTATTAATAATATATCATTTGATATATTTGAAAAGATTAGATTATTGTAAGTAGTTAATTATTTTTATAAATTTAATCAAATGCATAATTTATTATGAGCCAGTGTATTCTTCAATTTATTCTTTTGATTAAAAGCTTAATTATTATTGTTTATTTGAAATGATTGAATAGCATCTGAAAATTAGATCATCTTTATATAATGTTAACTAAGTTTAGCATATTTCAGTGGATTATTCATTATTGATCCAAAAGGAATTTTGCGACAAATCACAATTAACGATCTTCCAGTAGGTCGTTCTGTAGACGAAACTTTACGTTTAATTCAAGCTTTTCAGTTTGTTGACAAGCATGGTGAAGTAAGTTTTCTCTTGTTAAAAGAAAAAAACAAAAAATGTCGCATCATTTCAGTTACACAGAAAGAATGGAAAAATTTTGAAATAGCAGTGCTTTTGATGATAACTAAATAGTCTGTAACTTTAATTGGACAACTGTAATTAATTGTTTTACATGAGTTATCTTATAAATATATATATACAAGAATTGATATTATTAATCTATATTTGTTAATTTCATGCATAAATTAGCATTGAAACAATTTACACATATTTTATTGGAAATGATTTTAAGGTATGTCCTGCTAATTGGCATCCAGGATCTGAAACGATTAAGCCTGGTGTGAAAGAAAGTAAAGCATATTTTGAGAAACATTAAAAACAAAAAATGGTTGTACGACATGGAATTACTCAGTGGATTTTTTTGATTAAATATATGCTGAAGTAATATTAACAAAAAAAAAAAAAATACTCAAATATTAATTAAATTTTATCGTACATAGATATGTGTTCAAGTAATATTAGCAAAAACATACTCATTTCTTAATTATATTCAATCATACTTACTTTTTTTAGTTTTTACAGAAATTTTACATCGATATTTACATCTTTTATTGTTGATACTCTCTTTTTTTTTTTTTTTATTCTTTCTCTCTTACACATACATACATTTATTTTTTTATTGAATAAAATTTTGATATCGATCTATGTTTCTTACATGACATCATAAATAAAGACGAAATTCCTTGCACAAAACAAATCACATCATAATTTTAATAAAACTTTTTTCTTTTTGAATTATACAATATGATTAATAAATTTGGAATTTTTTTTTAAGAAACAAAAAAAAAAAATGTGATATCTGAGAATGCGCAAATCTACTTATCTAACAAAAATTTTAAAAATATTTCATTATTTGATAGCATTTAAAAAAAAAAAAGGAAAATAAAAAAGAAACTTTGATGTCATTTGATTATTTTTTAGGATTATTGCTGTAAAATAATTTCTTATGTACGGATTAGTCGTGTATTATTACTCAATGGTACTAAAATATTGTTACGTTTTGTTACGTTTATTACGTTACAATTGCAGTTAAAAATATTTTAAAGAAATTACAATTACAACAATTACTGATTCAGTACATTATTATTTATATGCTTAAGTAAAGTTTAAATAAGTAAACTTTTTATTCAATTGTTCAACAAGTAAAAAATAAAAAAATAAACGATCTGATGGGATGAGAGTTTTCACAAAGCTTTGCGAGATTATTTAGTTGGCCGTACGTCAAATAGTACGCTACTGAATGGTACGTTTTGTCATCTATTGTTTATTTTTTTATTTACTTATTTACACTGATATTTTATTGTATTATCTTAATTTTGATATTAGATAAACGTAATTAATCACGTGAATCATAATTAATTATATGATATAATTAATTATGATTCACGTGTATTATTACTTACGTTATATTACAAATAAAATTACATTATAGTAATTCTGTTATATAATTATTACGTTATATTAAATTCAATTTTGATATTAGATAATCATAATTAATTATATGATATATAATTTTATTACATTATACAAATAGAATTACGTTATATAATTATTACTTATTAAATTCAATTATATTGTATTATACGTGTTTACTTGCAGAACGAATAATGGTAATTTTCATTTATGTAAATTTGATAAATACTTATTTTAGCGTACGTGGATTCAGTCGTGCTTGTTACATTGTGGAAATTTTTTTGTAATGCTGATATTACAGATGAATACATGATGGAAAATTATTGTTTAATTTCTATTTATTAAAGAACAAAATGGATATGTTAAAATTGGCTTAGTAATACTTTTTCTGTCATACAACTTCGATTTGGTTTATTTATCATTTTGGTGTAGAAATTTTGTTAACGTAATGGGACAGTAATATAATAAAGGTATGCTAGGTTGAGATATTTAATAAATAGATACACAGGTAAGGCACACTTTAATATATTTAGGTTGAAAATAAACTTAATAAAATATAAGCTTGTTAAGTTGGTTTTTTTTTTTTTGCCAAATGTATTCATTTGATTAATTTCAACAAAATTATTCGTTTATATATTTTCAGAAAGCTAAAAGATTATACTTTGTAAATGTACATATAAATTTTTGTAAGTTGAATAAGTTTAGATCATATTTATTAGGATTGGTATAGAATGCGAATAAGATTATTTAATAGTTATTTTTGTCTAATTTAACTTGCTTAATTCTTATTTATTGGAATTAAATTTAATGGCTTTTGCTTTTTATGAGATTTTAATTTCAGTAAATATACTTTTGAAGATGTTCCTAAACATTTCACATGTTACTTATACTACTGTTGTTTAAAATAAATGTACGATTATCCATATTGCTTAGGTAGCGAAATTGATTGTTTCATTTCCATTGAAACATTGATTTCCTTTTTTTTTTTTCTTAGGAAGTTATTTTTTCTGAAGTTTTTTTTTAAAAAAATTGAATTTTGCTAATATTATTCATTAGATTTATATGATTTTTATAGTTCTAAAAATATTTGATATTAGTTTTTTCATGCATAATAATAGAATGGAGGGATTGTGCATTAATAAATACTAATTATTGGACTATACAAATGTGTTTTTTTTTTTTTTTTTGAGATTTTTGATTTGAATTATGATAATTGCGTTGCGTTAGTCAAAATAATTACCCAAACACGCAAATCATATCAATGATTGCTATTTAATCCATCATTATTTTATTTTATTTATTCATTATTTTAGCTAATACTAATCGATAGAAATTATGTATGTTGCTAATGAAGATAGTATATCATCGTCAGAAGATGTGAAGTTAAAGACACGTTTTCAAGGACAAGTATGTGAATTTTTCTTTATCGGAAATTTTAAATTATTTGCAAAGATAATTTTTCTAAATGAATTATTATGCTGCTATCAAACTGATGCTGTCTTACTGGATAGATGTTCATTATTTGTTTATATTGGCTTATTCATTTTAAAAATGATTGACTACAATTCAATGATAGATTTTAAAGGTAAGAAACTGAACAAGATTTAGTTTATAGTTAACATCGTCAACCTCTTTTTGAAAGTCCAATTTGTGTTATTCAATATGCAATCAAATGATATACTACATTAAGTTAATATTAGATAATTAAGTAATAGCTATTTCTTGAAGATATTATTCTGAATTCTTGCTACTGTTTATCAAATTTTTTATTTTTCAGGTGTTGGTTTTGTATGCTAAAATTCCGCTACGATTGGAAACATTTTTAAGCAGTTTACGAGAAGCTTGCAAGCAGGCTTATAATCAGCCGATTACCGTCAAATGGATTGATGAAGAAGGTTTGCTTTGATTAAATTAATAATGGATTTGAGGAAGAAGGAAATAATGCTCTATGTAGGATTTTTAGAAAAAAGTTATGATAAGTTTATGATACATTAGTAAAGTTGTGAAAAAAGTTATGATACATTAGTAAAAAGTTGTGATTCATCGGGAAGATACCTGATAATTTGTTATATTTGTTTGAATTCTGATTTATTTCAACGATGTTTAGTAATTCAATGCATTTCTCTAAGATAGCAAACTTTATAATTTACACAAACATCACATAATATTTTTGGATAAGCTTTATAAGTTCAGTCTATTTTGTTTTATTTTTTCTGCTACACTGTAGTTTAAATCAAAGAAAATCAAAAATCTACTCATTATTGATCCCTTTAAGTGTAATTATTGTTCACTGTTTCGATTAATCAACAAATTCAGGTGATCCATGTACGATATCATCTCAACGTGAATTAGACGAAGCGATACGTTTGTTACATGCAAATGGTGAAGCAGAACTTAATGTTCATGTTTTCCTTGGCATTCCTCCTTTACCTGGTCTTCCATGCCATGGAGAAGATAGTATGTTTTAAAAAAAAAAAATTTTTTTTCTTTATTCGATTTGCTTATATAATTTTACATAATTCATGAGTTTCCTTCATTTGACAAATTTAATTTAACACATTATTAGAGAAATATTGTAATTATTTTTTGAATCATCATTTTTCTTAAAATCTTGATAAGTAATATGGAAAATTTTTTTTTTTTGCTTCTCATTTAATATTTAAAAAAAAAAAAAAGTGATATGTTATATCAGAAGCGGTATATCGAAGAGGTGCACGTCGTTGGAAGAAATTTTATCATGTTAATGGACATCGATTTCAAGCTAAGAGACTTAATCGAAGAGTACAATGTTTCTTTTGCAATGATTATATTTGGGGTCTTGGACGTCAAGGATATCGTTGTGCTGACTGTCGCTTATGTGTTCATAAAAAATGTCATAGAGCTGTACGACAACCTTGTGGTGATGTTGGTTTTCTTTTTTTTTTTTTTGTCTATTTTCTAAAGTATAAACAAAAATTATAATTTAAATGGTTTTTGAATATTGTTTATTTGTAGAACAGTAGTGGAATGGCAGTTGCGCCATCACCTTCTGCACCAATTATTTCACCAAAATTTAATGGAGCCACAGTGGAACGTACTGGACTTGATAATCATGCATTTAAAGAATCAGAAATTGAAGCTGAGCATATTACTGCTGTAAGTTTGGCTTCTTCTTTTTAAAATATAAATTGCTTTAAGAATTGCTATAAAAGATGTTATGTGACAAATATAATGTATACAGTACGACGAGTTTAGTAATGCAAAATATTGAAAAGTATGAAAAAAAAAATTGAAAATCATTGAAGTGTGCAATATGATAAAATTTAAAAATTAATTATAAGTAACTGTAATATAGAATGAACCAAATAAAAAATATTTAATCTTCCAGAAGAGATGTAAATAATTTTGATTTTTCATATTAAAGAAAAAAACAGTATTAATTTTCCACTTCCAGCAACAAAATTTAGTGGATCGTTGTGCTGGTAGTACATCAACAAAAGATTCAAAATGGGCAGTTTCGTTGAATAATTTCAATCTTTTAACGGTAATTGGAAGAGGTAACAGTTAGCATTTTTGATCGTTGATTTTGAGAAATGTCAACTGCATTAAACTTATCATGCGTTTAATAATTAAAATATTCTCATAACACAAAATTAAAACAATAATGTTGAATATAAGTACAGTTTAAATAAATTTTAAACTTTAACATGTTATATCTGACAGCATGTAGTAATGTTATGGCATTGTGATTTTTCCTTTTCAATTTTGCAGTTTCGAAAAAAAGACGAACACCTATTATTGTTTTCAAATAAAACTTAAATGCTTTCAGGTTCCTATGCTAAAGTTATTCAAGCAGAACATAAAAAAACAGGTGCAATTTATGCAATAAAGATTATCAAAAAACAAATGTTTAGTGATGATGAGGTGATTTTTTAATGCTATTTTATTCATTTCTATTTTTGCTTTAGAAAGTCGTTCAGTTAATGAATTTTTATGGATGCATTACAAATATACATACATATTTTAGGATATTGATTGGGTACAAACGGAGAAATCGGTTTTTGAAACAGCATCAAACCATCCTTTCCTCGTTGGACTTCATTCTTGTTTTCAGGTTAATATTTCTCGTATGCTTGTTGGTTTTCTTTTTCGTGTATTATTCTTTTAGTACGTTGAAAATTTTAAATTAGAAAGTTTTTTTCTCTTTTTGAATCTGTAGAATATGATTTATATTTCAGACTGATTCACGTTTATTTTTTGTTATCGAATTTGTTCCTGGCGGTGATTTAATGTTTCATATGCAAAGGCAACGCAAATTACCTGAAGATCATGCTAGGTAAGTGCTAATTTACATACTTACATGTAAACCTTATCAATTTGCTTATATATATTATTCTTATGAGAATGATTTCAGGTTTTATTCAGCAGAAATAATAATAGCTTTGCATTTTCTGCATTCACGTGGGATTATCTATCGTGATTTAAAACTCGATAATGTTTTGATAGATGCCGAAGGACATATTAAACTTACTGATTATGGCATGTGCAAGGTATTATAGCTTTATGAAAATTTTCGAGTAATAGCCTAATAAATCGATTGTTTTAAATTTAACAATTTAAGAAATAGCATTTTAGAAGGCTTATATACAGCTAACTATTTCTGATATTTCTTCTGGCTCTGTGTTATTTAAAACAAAGGAGTAACAATTCGTAATAATCGATAAAATTATATAGTTTCAACTAATATTTTTTTTCTAGTATCACTTGAAATCTGCTCTTTCATATATATAATTCAGGAAAAATATATGTAATTCAAGATTTTTAGGAAAATATTGGTCCAGGTGATGTTACTAGTACGTTCTGTGGTACACCAAATTATATTGCTCCTGAAATTTTAAGAGGGGAAGATTATGGTAAGTTTACTGAAGTTTTCCAGAAAAAGAAACGAGGGAATTGTCAATGGTAATTGAAATTTAGAAATGTATGAAATATGATAATGGTACAGAGATAAAGAAATTAGTGATGAATAGTTATGTAATGCTAAGCATTTTCGTAATTAATTGGATCATTTGTTTTTAAAAAATATTCATCCTTGAATAGTATTTAAAATTTAGGACTATGTGAAATATAATAATAATAGATAGATAAAGAATCATCTTAATGTATTTGCGGATTACATTTTTAATTTTTACATTTCACATGCAGTTTTTCTCCTTCTTTATTTTTTATTTTCTAGCTTTCTTCATGCATTACTTGATACAGTATGATTGTTTTGTTGATAAAACAAGTATGTAATTAAAATGACAAGTATAATAACAAATATATGATTAGATAGTATATATGGTTACAATAATATTGCATATCATGGAATAATTTTCAGAATTGTTTTATAATTTTCTAATAGGTAATTCATGATTTAAAAAATAGTAGACATTGTCAGAGTTATATTTCATGATTTTTAATTAAATAGACATTTCGTGATTTATTTGACTGAATATATATTTGACACTGTAAATCAATATATGCTTAATATTTCAAAAGTTTTGTACTGTTTTTATTTTATTTTACTTTATTTTGTTTATTTATTTATTTTTGATTGTTTGCAGGATTTAGCGTAGATTGGTGGGCGCTTGGTGTACTGATGTATGAAATGATGGCCGGTCGTTCACCTTTTGATGTGGTTGGTATGGTAGGTGATGTGGAGCAAAATACGGAAGATTATTTATTCCAGATCATTCTTGAAAAGCAAATACGAATTCCGAGATCACTTTCGGTGAAAGCTGCTGCTATTTTGAAAGGTTTTTTGAATAAAGTTAGTTAATCTTAAATCAATCATCATTATCATCCTATGTTAAATCAATATCAGACTTTTTAATAAGTCTTCCTATATGGTTGTAATGATTATTCAAATATGTGGTTCATTTTCAACCTATTGAAAAATTATGCTGAGATATATTTTTAAATGAATGTGAAAGTTAGCCCATAGAAATTCCAAACTTACTATTTGGACTGTAAATTTATGATTTGAAAGTTTTGTAGGATCCAAGTGAACGACTGGGATGTAATGTAAATATTGATGAAGCATTGGAAGAAATGAAAAATCATGCGTTTTTTCGAACAAGCATTGATTGGGAATTAGTAAGATTATTATTATTTTTTTGTTTACTTTAAATCTTTTCATGTTCACACTGTTATTCTGGTTTGCATATTTTCTATAAATATCCAAAAATTTATTTCTCATTTTTACTTGGAAATTACTCGCTTACATGATATATTTCTTTAAGAACTGATATAATTCTTTATCAGGTAGTTATCGATATGCGCTATTGACGCATTAGTTAATGGATTTCTATATTTTTTTTGTAAACTTTAAAAGGAAACTTCGAAAAAAGAAAAAAAAACTCTTATGTTTCTTATGTGAATTATTTTTTACTGTTTTAAAAATTTTTATTTGCAGCTAGAAGGACGACAAGTGACACCACCTTATAATCCATCTGTTTCCAGTGATCGTGATTTGCAGCATTTCGATACAACATTCACCGATGAAGCTCCAAATCTTACACCTGATGATCCGTGAGCTTTTTTTTTTTTGATTAAATTGTAACATAAAAAAAAAGAGCATTCGATGGTTATTATTTCATCAAAGATTTTTTTTGACCATTGTATTCTTCATTTGTACCATTCGTTCCATCATTTAATATAACTTTTTGTCGTTAGCTTTTTCCTTTTTTCAATATAACCTTTGTTGTTAGCTTTTGCCTTTTCTTTTCTTTTTTTTTTTTTTTTTAAATATAACCTTTTATTGTTAGCTTTTTCCTTTTTTTTTTTTTAACATAACCTTTTGTAGTTAACTTTTTTTTAAAACACAACTTCTTGTTGCTAATTTTTTTCAATATTATTTTAAACTAAAATTTTATCATATTTGCTATTTTGTAAGGAAATAATTGTGAAAAATCTTTTGAGTTAGAACTTTAAATTCTAATATTCATCCCAGTTTTTACTCCTCCTATGCCTCTTATGTATTTTATTGAAAATATTTGGAGCTTATTTCTATCTTCAAAAAAAAAAAAGGAAAAAAAAAGCAAGAGGCAGCTTTTTTTTTTTTTTTTTTGAATTTCGATAAAGGGCTTTCTTCTCTTTCCATTCTTTGTTTTTAACGTGAAGAAGAGAAAGATGATATGAAAGGAAGAAGAATGTTGACGTAATTCAGAACAAAGTATTTCGAATAGTTTGAGGAAATCATAGTTGTTTACAATTTTTGAAAAGGTGATGAAGCATTCATAATATAATAGAGAGCTTCTTTTTTTTTTTTTTTTTTTGCTTTTTCTTTTTCTTTGTTGACTTGAAATCATTTTTGTCAAATGATGAAGAGCACTGAGGTATATCAATCGATAAATTGCACTTTTTTTTTTCTTCTTTGAAAGAAAAAGGAAAAAAGTATTTGCTTGTTTAATTTCTTTCTGTTTTGTTTAATTCAGATAGGCACCATTGAATTGCTGACTGTAATCTATTTATAGTCTAAAAATTTACACGGAAAAATTATTGTTAATAATAAAAGGATTGAATAAATTTAATAATTTTTTATAGCAAAGAATGAAGTAAATTTTAAATCCTTTAAAGAAGTGAAAATCTTGAATTAGAGAAATGAGCTAGAGAAAAGTAAATAGGAAACATTTTGTTGTTGTTGTTGTTGTTGCAAATCTATTACAAATTTTACAGGAGTGTCATCGAAAAAATTGATCAAACTGAATTTGAAGGCTTCGAATATATTAATCCATTACTGATGACAAAAGAAGAAAGTGTCTAAAAAGAGAGGATGATAATTTGTGATAAAAAAAAAAATTTAACTGCAGCTGTGTTATATTATTTAATGTTTTTTTTTTCCTCTCCCTCTCTCTCTCTCTTTCTCTCTTTTATATTCCTAATTGTTTTGTTTAAAATCAAAAATTACTTGAAATTCTTGATCATGCCTGATAGGAATAACGAGAAATGTTGTGATGTTATTTTTACATGTTCACTTTGAATTATCTTTTTTATTTGCATCAAGTTTTATTTGCTAATTGTTATATTATATTGAAAATTTATTTATATCAATCAGTGAAAAAAATGGAATATTTTATTATGAATTTTATAATTGCTTATTTAATTTTTTTATTTATGATATATGATATATACAATTTTAATTTTATAATATATCTATATCCTTACAAAATGATAACGTTAAATAGATGAATATAAGATACATATTGGATGATAATGATACGTAGATAATTTATCTGTGTTATACTATTGCACCTCTATTTTATCATCAAATGAAAATTTATCAATTTTTTTAGCCAAAGATATTACCAATGAAAATGATAATATTGTGATAAATTTCTTTTTGTATTCTTTTAAACTAAAAGTTCTTATCAAATTGTTCCATTTTTTAAAAGTATAAAATTCTGATTAATTAATGAAAAGAAAAAAAAAGTGGATTGTAATGAATGATTCATGTTATTGGCATATTTCACTTAAGATTAATTGTAATTCTTTTGTTTGTCATTTTATTCTCTTTCTGTCTTTTTTTTTTTTAACTTTTTTCAAGAAAAGAGATAAAAATATTTTGAAAAAATGTATAATATAATATGTCAAACAATATACAAAAAATGATGAATTTTATTCCTAAATAGAAAGAAAAAAAATTTTTATCATTTTTGAAAATGAGAAATTTTTTAATGGAATGAATTGAGTGTAATTTAATAAAACAAACTTTTACAAATTTTAATATTTTTCATTTTCATTCCTCTCTTTTTCTTCAATTAATTTGCATTATTTTTCATTTCATTTCTTTTGTTTCTTATATTTATTTGAAAGACATTTGTTTATATTACCAATCATCTGGTGGAAAAAAAAAGAAAAGAATTAAATCATTTTTCATTATTTTGACAATTATTTCATATGAATTATTATAAATAATATTTAGTAATAGCAACAAAAAAAGAGAGAGAAAAAAAAAATGAAATATATTGAATTAAAAAATTATTAATACATTTTATTTTATACATCAATAAACTTTAATTATTACAAAATTCCTTCCTTTTTTTTTTCTCTCTCTCCCTCTCTTTCTCTCTCTCTCTCTCTCTTCCTCTTATTTTTGTTCTTCCAATTAATTAATTCTAATGAATGATATATATACATTTTTTTTTTCTTGTACTTTGTTGACATAAACAATATGAACAAAGAGACGTATAGATGAGAAATTTTTTTGTGACAATAACAAAACTGTAAAATGATACATTCTTCAATACTAATTATAAATATAGCATTAATTGCGATATAATTATAATAATTTTATGATCATATTTATTTATGAGAGAAATTTTAATTGTATATTATTGATTTATTGATTATATCATATTATTGATTATGTATTTTAATTATACATTTATTAATTTTATTAATTTATGAACTTTTCGCTTATGTTATAATCAACCAACCATATATTATTGATTATTTACTTTAATTGTCTGTTTATTTACTGATTATATTGTAATCAACTATATGTTATTATTTATTTATTTATTAATATATAATTGATTATTTACTTTAATTGTCTGTTTATTTACTGATTATATTGTAATCAACTACATGTTATTAATTATTTATTTATTAATATATTGTTGATTATTTACTTTAATTGTCTGTTTATTTACCGATTATATTGTAATCAACTATATGTTATTAATTATTTATTTATTAATATATAATTGATTATTTACTTTAACTGTCTGTTTATTTACTGATTATATTGTAATCAACTATATGTTATTATTTATTTATTAATATATAATTGACTATGTTATAATCAACCATATACTATTGATTATTTACTTTGTCTGTTTATTTACTGATTACATTATAATCAACTATATGTTACTGATTATTTATTTATTAATATATAATTGACTATGTTATAATCAACCATATACTATTGATTATTTACTTTGTCTGTTTATTTACTGATTACATTATAGTCAACTATATGTTATTGATTATAATTATATAGTATTAATTGTTTACTTTAAAGAATGAAGTAGAAAAGAAATCTTAGTAAAGTAAACAAGGAGAAGAAAAAGGATTTGTAAATTAAATCAACAAGTCAATATTCATTCATTTAAAAAAAAAATGTTAATATTGCATAAAAAAAGGGCAATGCAAGCAAATATAATAAAAAAAAAGAGAAAAGAAAATATTTGATAACAATATTTTCTCATTCTCAAAAGTAAGTAATTAATTTCAGTATCAGTAAATTATTTTAGTATGAGTAATAAACTTCCTTTAAAGTACTAATATTTTTTTTTTCTAATATTTTAATAATATTTTCACATAATAATAATAAGTACTAATATTTTAATATAAAGTACTAATAATAAATTTTTTCTTTTAAAGCTTATTTTAATATCAGTAATAAAATCATAGAAAGATAAATTGCATAATTTGAAAAAAATTTTTCAAATAGATGTGATAATTCTTTTCATATAAGATAAAATGAAATTTCAGAAGTATGATGATTAATATGTAAATTTAATGATTCTAAATTAATCAAAATTTTTTGAATTAAATTTATTAAATTCATTTACACAGATTTTTTTTTTCAATTAAAATTAATAATTCCAATTTATTTCATTTTAATTTTTCATTCTCTTTTTGCTTTTTTTTTTCTCTTTTTTGCAAAAACTGAAATGATTACAAATTTTCTAAATATATTTTTCAATGATAATATTTATAATCTGTTTATGATTGAAATGAAATAAACAAAAATAGAAAAAAAAGAAAGAGAGAGAGAAAGAAAGAGAGAGAGAGGGAGAGAGAGAAAAGAAGAAAGATAAAGTGCTTTTAGCAAGATAAATTGAATTTGTTTCACAAAGAATTTCAATGTAAACAGGTTTTAACTAAGCTGTATGCGTCATTATTTCAATTCAAAAAATTTTTAAAACAAATATGGGACAAAGATAAAGGTAACACTTCGTGCTTTTTAACTAGCAAAAAGCTTAATAATTAGCTAACAATTCTTACACTCTTTCTCTCTCTCCCTCTCTTCTTCCCCTTTGTTTCTCTTTTTGTTTTAGGGATCTCTTATTATCCTTTGTTTATTTTGTTTACTTATCTTATTTATTCATATTTTTTGTTTATTTATCTATTTATTCATTTATTTTGCTTGTTTATTTATTTATCTGTTTATTAATAATAACAATAATAATAATAATAATAATAATAATAATAATAATAATAATAATAATAATAATTAATAATAATAATAATAATAATAATAATAATAATAATAATAATTTATTTATTTATTTACTTAATTGACTATTGTTATTACTATTATCATTACTATTGTTATTAATTATTATTGCTTTTATTGCTATTATTATTATTATTATTACTAAACTGTTGTTATTCGGTGATAATTTTTGTTTGATTCAAAATGTTTAGGAATAAACCTCATTTTTCACTGATAAGATTATCTCATTGATAACTCTATGTTTGCTATAATTATAATATTGCTACATTCAGTCGTTACTTTTGTTTTTCGTATGCAAAAAAAAAAAAAAAAAATTCAAATAAAAAAAATTTTTTTTTTTCTTTGAATGATTTTTATTAGAATGAAAATGTTTTAATCATTGTAAATCTGAATGCAAGAAGAAAAGAAAAGATATCAATATTTATAATTTTCTCTCTCCCTCTCTCTCTCTCTCTCTCCTTTCTTCTTTTCTTTCTTTCTTTGTCCCTCTTTCATCTCTTTCTTTCTTTCTTTCTCTTTTTATTCAAATTTTTCTAATGAATTAATAAATTGAAATTATTTCATCTCATTTCTTTCAATTTAATAAATTATATATGTATTATTATGATTAATTAATATAAATTGCAGAAAATAATTGCAATAATTTTTTGCAATTCAAAAAGAATTAAAAATTTTATTTGTTAATTTAAATGAGAATTGTGCAGTAGTATAATTATAATTATAGATATTAAAAAGAGAGATAAATGAAAATTTAAAAGAAAAAATTTAATTAATTGGGATTGTTGGTTTTGCATATTTTTTTTAATGTGTAAATATATTGTTAGCATCTTTTCTCCTCTCTCTCTCTCTCTCTCTCTCCTTTCTCTCTCTATCTTTTGAGAGTATTTTTTTTTAAATTTCAAATATCAGATAGATAATCATCAAATCTTTTTTTTTTTGACAATTTTGATGAAAAAAAAAATTGCATTTATGGATTAAAAAAGTTACAATTTGAAAAATTTTTTTTTTTAAATTGTCATTTATTTTCTTTTTTTTTCTCTCTCTCTCTTTCTTTCTCTCCCTCTCTCTCCCTCTCCGTCATTTGATTCTTTTTATTATAATTATAAAATGATAGTGAATAAATGCTGAATTATTTGTGGCAGCGATTATAAAACGAAAAAATTGAAATTAAATTAAACAATTTAAATTTCATTTTAAAATTAAAATTTAACAGAAATGTATGCATATGAAGCATAAAATGATCACATATATAATTAGAGATGGAAGAGCTAATTAATTAATTAACTAATCAGTTAATAAATAATGAAGTAAACAGGTGTTAGAAAGATGAAAAGGTTACGACATAAATGATAAACAAAAAAATAAGTGAATGATATATATGTTTTTAAAACTTTTTATACACATACTTTAGTGATAAAAATATGTTAAAAAACATATTGCAACAAACAAATAAACAAAGAGATAAACAGACAAATGAATAAACAAACAATTAAATAAACAAAGTTGATAAATGAAAA